AGAAAGCTTTATGTAGAGTTGTTTGTATCAGTGAAACCCTTCTCTTCCCTGGAGTTGCTGTGTCATTTGTTTCCAGACTGTGGATTCTGTTTTTTAAACTTTTAAGGGATCCAGAGTGGTGAGAATGGAGGTGTTCGATTTATTTACAGTGATGGGGCTTGAGAAAGTTTGTTGAAAATCATTCACTTGTTATTAGTAGAAATGTTTAGGTGTAACTGAAATGTTGAATACTTTTTGTCTAGATCTTTATTAACACAGAAAGATCACATACTGAAACCCTGGGAATTGTAAATGTTTAATAAAATCATGAAAATAAACTCAGAACACTTTGTGTGACAACATGTTTCATAACTTAGTTTTATGGGAAAAACAGTAAAGGTTTTACTTTTATTAAAAAAATTTTTTAATTTATTTTTTTATTTGGAAGAGAACAGTGTTGGGACCTGAGTTGGAATCCCAGTTCCAACACTTATCAATTAACTATATGACCTTGGAAAAAATAACCTAATTTCTTTGGCTTCGATCCTCTCATCTGTGAAATGGGAAATAAAAATAGTACCTGTCTCAGAATTGTTTTGAGAATTCTATTAATAAATGTAGAGTGCTTAGAACAGTTCCTGGCATGTAGCAAACACACTGTAATTATTATTTATTGAGTATTTATCATGTGTTAAGCACACTGGAAGACAGTGTAGCAGGGATTTGGGGTAAGTTATTAACCTCTTCTGAGCCTCACTTTCCTCATCTGTAAAAGAAGGATAGCAACAGTTTCTTTTACTTTCACAGGTAGGATTGCATGAAAATTAAATGAATTAATGCATGTGACGCCCTTAAGGCATTGCTGTTTTTGTTGTTAGCATCCAGTAAATGTGAGCCCCCACAGATTACATACTTTAAGTCATTTTTCACACAGCCATGTAACTATATATATGTATATACATATACTCATACATACATGTATTATATACACACACACACACTCATACCCTTGTTGTTGTTAAACAGTTGAGAAAGAAACAAGTTGAGAAATGTAGATAACCTGTTCAAGATTGCAGAGTTAAAATTTGATCTCAGGTCTTAAGTAGCCAAATCAGAAATAAGTGACCTATAGACCTCTGTTGCTTTATTGGGTCTTATTGGTTTCGAAGATGATGTTCCTCTGATGGTTTTGCGATTCATATAAATATTTAATTTCAAGTGTGCTTTGTGAAGTTTTATCATATTCTTTCTCTCAAAAGCCTTAGTGAATGCCTGACTGTGTAACTTTTAATTTGAGGATTTGTTGTGGAAGACTTGAATTCTTTATTGTGCAAAAATGTGTTTCTCAAGGCACCTTTGCGAGCTTTACACATACTCAAGAAGTTAATTGAACATACAGGGTGCATGTGCAGTTCCCTTAATGCACGTTATATTGTTCTGGGAGACATGGATTCTGAATTTTTATTTTCTCGTTGATGGAGTAATAGACTTTGTGCAAACTGCTCAAAATACCAGTTGTTCTACAATACACTTATGGGTAAAGAACACTTGGAGGGAAATATACAAAAATGATGTTGATAATCATATATAAGGGTGATGGGTTTTTCTCATTTCCACATCTTCTTTACTACTATTTATTTAATTATTTATAAAATTATTATAATTTATTCTTTATAAAAATAATTAAATAATTAATTTATTATTTCAAACAAATGTGTTAAAAATAACTTCTGGAGTTAGAAGTACAGAATGGACTACCTTAAGCTGTTTCTCTTGCTAGATTTTAAAAAGAGACTTTACCTTGTACTGTATTAATATCTATAAAGAGAAAATGGAAGCAGCTGGTGGAACCTGTCTCTCTTCCTTCACCATTATTCTTTGAGGCCCTCATGTAGTGTTTACTGTTAGTAAACACAGTAAGTAGTCTTCTGCTGTGGGTACCTGCTGTAGGCTTAATTGCAGAAGGAGGTATGGAAGGTTTAGGAAGCTCTCTGTGCTGTGCCAAGTTTGTGTTTAACACACACTTTCTGCTTTCCCCTGAGCAGTGGGATGCCTGAAGGACAAAGGGCCCCCAGAGAGCTGGCTGAACATGGTATGGTAGCAAGCAGTGCTCCTTTATTTATGTCTTTTAATTTTATTATTTCTTTTTTTTCTTTCTTCATATTTACTCTTCTCATTCATTCTTGAGTTTCTCTCGAGAAAGATCAGAGGCCTTGAATTTACTGGTAGGAGGAACTTGGTTTTGGTACATGACTTAGCCAGTGCTGTTCCATCTTTATGGGCTTCCAAGGTGGCGCTAGTGGTAAGGAATCCGCCTGCCAGTGCAGGAGATGTGGATATGACCCCTGGGTCGAGAAGATCCCCTGGAGGAGGACATGGCAACCCACTCCAGTATTCTTGTCCAGAGAATCACTAGGACAGAGGAGCCTGGTGGGCTGCAGTCCATGGAGTCACAAAGAGTTGGATACAAATGAAGTGACTTAGCACACGTGTTCCATCTTTGAAGGAACAGAATATCAGAGAAATGGAGCAGAATAACTCTATAGATTCACAGGACCCATATGGGTTGCTTGAGTGGTGGCATTCAGGCTTTCATGAGGTCATCCAGCTTTGAGACACATGTCTGACTCTGCTTTTTCCCTTTGCTGAAGATATTAATATAAGTCTGAATATAAGTTGAAGTTTCTTCCCAAACTTTTTCCTCAGGAAAAGTAGTAGGTAGTGTCTTTAAACACTTGGTTTTTCCATTAATATTTATTTTGAATTACCTTTTTTTGTTGTTATACATTTTAAAAAATAGACTTTATTTTTTAGAGAAGTTTCAGGTTCACAGCAAAACTTGAGTGGGAATTATAGAGAGTGAACTCCTAGGATTCCCCTCCCTGCCACACGTGGGTTATCCGGCTGTCCGCATCTCTCACCAGAGTGGTAGCTTTGTTATAATTGGTGAACCTACATTGATATGTAGGTTCATTAGACTCATTAGAGAAGATCCCGATACTGGGAAAGATTGAAGGCAGGAGGAGAAGGGGATGACAGGGGATGAGAAATGGTTGGATGGGCTCACTGACTCAGTGGACATGAGTTCGAGCAAGCTCTGGGAGATGGTGAAGGACAGGGAAGCCTGCTGTGCTGCAGGCCATGGGGTCACAGAGTCGGACACAACTGAGCGACTGAACAACAACGTTGATGCATTGTTATCATCCATAGTTCATAGTTTACCTTAGGGCTGAACATTCTGTGGGTTATAACCACTGTGTAATGACATTTACACACCATTGTAGTAGTATACAGAATAGCTTTACTGTCCTAGAAAGTCCCCTGTGTTCTTCCTATTCTTCCCTTCTCCCCTCCCCTCTAACCCTGGGCAGCCACTGATGTTTTTACTGTGTCCATAGTTTTGCCTTTTCAGGATGTCCTATAGTTGGAGCCATGCAGTATGTAACCTTTTCCAATGGGTTTCTTTGATTTAATAACCTGCCTGTAAGTTTCCCTCATGTCTTTTCATGGTTTGATAGCTCATTTCTTCTTAGGGCTGAATAACTAATATTCCATCGTCTGGATGTGCTGCCGTTTATTCGTTCATCTATTGAAGGACTTTTTGGTTGTTTTCATGGGCAGTCTTGAGCAAGGCTGCTGTGAAATCTGTGTGCAGGTGTTTGTGTGGACATAAGTTTTCAGCTCATCTGGGTAAATACCAGGGAGCACGACGACCCGGTTGCATGGCGAGAGCATGGTTCAGTTCAGTTCAGTTCACTTGTTCAGTCGTGCCTGACTCTTTGTGACCCCATGGACCGCAGCACGCCAGGCTTCCTTGTCCATCACCAACTCTCAGAGCTTGCTCAAAACAGATTGTCTTCTAAAGCAGCTATGCCATTGTGCATTCCCACCAGCAGTGAGTGAGAGTTCCTATTGCCAGGGTTGTCCAGGGTTATCTCACTGTGGTTTTGAATTCCATTTTTCTGATGATATATCATGTAGAGTATTGTTTCATATACTTATTTGTCATCTGTATAACTTCTTTGGTGAGGTGTCTGTTCAGGCCTCTGGCCCATTTTCTAATAGGCTTCTTTTCCTACTGTTGAGTTTTAAGAGCTCTCTCTCTGTTTTGGATAACAGTCCTTTTTCAGATATGCCTTTTGCAGAGATTTTTTCTCAGTCTATGGCTTGTCTTACCATTCTCTTGAGAATTAATGTATTTTAAATGAGACATTGCTTAGACATATATGAAAAACTTATCAGTGCCAGTTTTATATGCTTATGGAGATCACTTGATCGATTTGACTTTAAAAATTTAGAATGATTAAACACATTTGATAATTATTCCTAGGAGTATGGCAGGTGTGAACAGGCCTCCTGAAGGTCACTTGATGAGCAGTGTCTGAGAGCAGTGTGTATGTTTGTGGTCATCACAAATAGATATTGTGGGATAAATGAGGAAAAGCTTTGTCCCAGTATGATATAAATGAGTGCTTGGAGTTTGAATAAAATTTCCAGCATGCACTGCATAAGATGTCAGAGAGTGCTCTTTTTCAAACTGCAGTGGTGGGAATAGAGCTGATGTGCTCTGGAGTACTGTGTTACATGACTAATAAGGTGGTGTTAGTCACACTGGTGATAAAGATCTATACGGAAGCTGGAATAAAATGGTTTCATAATATGTTACAGATAATGGTGATTATGTTTACAGTGCTTTTTTTGTTTGCGTGTTTCTAAATGCTTTTAATCATCATTCCTTACTTGAGGTCACCTCTTTGCAGTTGCCTGATTTTGACATACATGGTACGCTGTGGGAATTTCTTTCGCACTCAGTAGTGGGAAATTACGTGTAATGATTTCGTGCATGTGGGATGTTATTTGCTTGGGAGTAGACCAACCGTCGTTAGGAAAATTGATTAAATCCCTCTCATATGTTTTTTTAAAGTCTCTTTTTGAAGCATTAATTTTCTTCATTAACATACCCTTTGGAGAACTCTAAATTGTTGGGTCAAACAGTTAATTTTGCTTTTGTTAATGTGTAGGATATTGTACCTGTGGATGCCTCTTATGAAGTGAAAGAGTTGTATGTGCCAGAAAATAAACTTCATTTGGCAAAAACAGATGCAGAAACACTGCCAGCGTTGAAAATTAATAAAGTAAGTGCTCTGTCCTTTTCTCATATCAAGTGCTTTAATCCTTTAGATAGTTGTTGGTCTGTAGAATTTGTGATTTTATTGATGTGTTTGAGGGCATGAGTGTTGCTGGTGGTGGTGGTCATAGTTGTATATATCACCATTTCCAGGGGTGGGAAATACGTTTAACTTATAAAACCATATTCCCAAATTACCATGGCTTTTGATTTTGTTTTACTCAAAATATTTATTTTGAAATACCAAAGAATAGAGGTTATATAGGATTTTAGGTTTATCAGAAGAAATGGTTTCTAAAAAGTAAAAAACCTTTAATAATTTAATAATTAAAATGAACTTTTTTTTTTCCTTAAACATGTTTCCTAATCCCTTGCCAAGACCCTCATTTTCCCTTTCTTCTATTGTGAGGAATAATTCTGTTGTGTATTGTAGCTCTAATAATATCATTAAGTGTTTTTCCCAATAAGAAACTGCTTAAACTAGATATGACAGTGGAGACTGTAATTTATCACTTTCAAATCTTAGAGAATTTTAAATTGTATCATTCAGATATACTTTAAAAATAGGTTAGAAATAAGAACTTAAACTACGAATAGAATTTCCCAGCCTTTCTTCTAGTGTAGTAAAAGTCCCAGACACCCAGGGAGATGCCACATCTGAGAGTAAGGAGAAAGAGAAAAGGAGGCTGAGGCTGGAGAAAGACTGCAAAGACTTACTCAAATTCCTGATAGGAGTACATTGTCTAGGTGGTTTGTGTGATTGGGTTTTTAACCAGAAGCTAAGACATGTTGCAGGGAGCAAGGAGAAGGATGAGTTGGGGAGCAGAGTCACTCAAAGCTGACTTTACTGAGGAGCAACAGATTTTGTCCTAACAGACTTTGTGTCAATTGAATACACACACACACACACACACACACACACACACACACGGAGAGAGAGAAGAAAGAAACTGAGAATGAATGACTCTGAATCGTCAGACTCTGTAACCCAAAAAGATGGTAGCTTTTTCAAATGTGAGCCTTTTTTTCAATACAGTGGTTTGTTCTTTGCGTAGCAGTATGAAAAATCATTAATTAAAAAAACGTAGGCTACATCATGTAATGTTTTAGCTCAGGTTGCCACAACAGAAACCGTAGCCTGGATGGCATAAACAACAGACATTTCTTTTCTCACGGGTCTATAAGAAAGAAAGGCCAAGACCTTGGTGCTGGCTGACTTGGTCCCAGACAAGGCCCCCTTCCTGACCTGCTGTCAGACGCCTTCTCACCGTGTGCTCAGGGTGAGAGTCGAGCTCTGGTGTCTCTTCCTTCCCTTATGAGGGCACCAGACTGTTAGATTAGGACCCAGCCTTATGACCTCATTTAAGCTTTATCACCTCCTTAGGGCCCTACCTCCAGTTCACATTGGGGGCTTCAGCATATTTGGGGGAATATAAACATTCAGTTTATAGTAGATACCATCTAGAATTAGATTCCAGTAGAGACAAATAGGGGTCATGTCAGAGGTTTAGGAAAAATGAATAAGAGGAGAATTTGAAAATGAAACAATTTGGTGCATGAATATCATTTTTTCCCTGTGAATTGAAGGAGGGGGTATACTTTGCCCATATTTGATTTTTCAGTGGAACATGCTGGCCAGCATACTTTGGGAATACATGGTAAGCCACATCTTACTACACACCTCTTGGTCAGGTGCTTTATCTTTTCTCTTTTGAGAATCATGGCTATATATATACATATATATATACCAAATTAAAAGTGAGCACATACAGCTTACATTGTTGTTGTTTTGTCACTAAGTCGTGTCTGACTGTTTTGCGACCCCATGGACTGTAGCCCTCCAAGCTCCTCTGTCCATGGGATTTCCCAGGCAAGAATACTAGAGTGGGTTGCCGTTTTCTTCTCCAGGGGATCTTCCTAACCCAAGGATTGAACTCGCATCTCCTGAAATGCAGGTGGATTCTTTACCACTGAGCCACCGGGGAAGCCCCCCCCCCCCACCAGTTTACATTAATTCATCATTAATTTATCAATTCTTTAATATTCTGATTGGATACACTAGAAATCTTAAAGTTCAAGAAATAATACAGTGTTTGTAAAATGAATGCCATTGGTGAGGGACACTTTTGGTAAGTATTTTTATCTAAAGTTTGTTTTAGCTTGGAACACTGGTTGTCAGAGTGTAGTTGCTAGAACATTATTGTTAACATTTTCTGGGTACCTGTTAAAAATAGTGCTCAGGCCTGGTGCACTGGGAAGACCCAGAGAAATCGGGTGGAGAGAGAGGTGGGAGGGGGGATCGGGATGGGGAATATTGTAAATCCATGGCTGATTCATGTCAATGTATGACAAAAACCACTACAATATTGTAAAGTAATTAGCCTCCAACTAATAAAAATAAATGAAAAAAAAATACAAATCTTTGTCCCCCATAACAAACCAGCTAAATTAGAAACTGGTGTGGAGCCGTCTTCACTTAACAAGTCTTCCAGAGGTTTCTTACATGTATTAAAGTTTGAGGAGTGCTGGTTTAGGAGATGCTATTCTTATTAGAAATGTTATTTAAATTTATTAAGGAAAAGGTGTATTTTCTTAGTGCCCTTGTTGTTTATTAGATTTGTATAACCGTATTCATTCTTGAGAAGTTTGTTACCGTTACTTTCAAAATGAAACTGCAGAAAACCATTGCTGCTTCTGTTCGTGAGTGTGTGAGACAGAACACTGTTCTTTACTGTCTCCTTCACAGGTGGATATGCAGTGGGTGCAGGTTTTGGCAGAAGGCTGGGCAACCCCACTGAATGGCTTTATGAGAGAGAGGGAATACTTGCAGTGTCTTCATTTCGATTGCCTTCTGGATGGTAAGACTTTGGACATTTAGGTGCATTGAGTGTGGAAAAGAAGGCCCGTACTTGCAGGGATTGGTCAGTGTTTAGAGAAAGTACTGGTAACGTCTTAATTGGAGATAGCACTTTAAGACTAAATTATATCAGTACTGAATATTTTAAGTATATCCTGAGATCGTCTTTCCAGTTTTATTTTTTCTGATTGTGATTTATTATGAGGGGGAAGGACAACCTGGGGGTCAGGGCTGAAAATGGATTTAAAAAATGAATGTAGTTTTCCCTATTCCGTATCTACCTGATCATGGTAGAAAGCCTTTTCCGAATGTTCAGTTCAGTTCAGTCGCTCAGTCTTGTCCGACTCCTTGCGACCACATGAATTGCAGCATGCCAGGCCTCCCTGTCCATCATCAGCTCCCGGAGTTCACACAAACACATGTCCATCGAGTCAGTGATGCCATCCAGCCATCTCATCCTCTGTTGTCCCCTTCTCCTGCCCCCAATCCCTCCTAGCATCAGGGTCTTTTCCAGTGAGTCAACTCTTCGCGTGAGGTGGCCAAAGTACTGGAGTTTCAGCTTCAGCATCAGTCCTTCCAGTGAACACCCAGGACTGATCTCCTTTAGGATGGACTGGCTGGATCTCCTTGCAGTCCAAGGGACTCTCAAGAGTCTTCTCCAACACCACAGTTCAAAAGCATTAATTCTTCGGCGCTCAGCTTTCTTTATAGTTCCACTCTCACATCCATACTTGACCACTGGAAAAACCATAGCCTTGACTAGACGGACCTGTGTTGGCAAAGTAATGTCTCTGCTTTTTAATATGCTGTCTAGATTGGTCATAACTTTCCTTCCAAGGAGTAAGCATCTTTTAATTTCATGGCTGCAGTCACCATCTGCCATGATTTTGGAGCCCCCAAAAATAAAGTCAGCCACTATTTCCACTGTTTCTGCGTCTTAATTGCCATGAAGTGATGGGACCAGATGCCATGATCTTAGTTTTCTGAATGTTTAGCTTTAAGCCAACTTTTTCACTCTCCTCTTTCACTTTCATCAAGAGGCTTTTTAGTTCCTCTTCACTTTCTGCCATAAGGGTGGTATCATCTGCATATCTGAGGTTATTGATATTTCTCCCAACAATCTTGATTCCAGCTTGTGCTTCCTCCAGCCCAGTGTTTCTCATGATGTACTCTGCATATAAGTTTAATAAGCAGGGTGACAATATACAGCCTTGACGTACTCCTTTTCTTATTTGGAACCAGTCTATTGTTCCATGTCCAGTTCTAATTGTTGCTTCCTGACCTGCATATAGGTTTCTCAAGAGGCAGGTCAGGTAGTCTGGTATTCCCATCTCTTTCAGAATTTTCCACAGTTTATTATGATTCACACAGTCAAAGGCTTTGGCATAGTCAATAAAGCGGAAATAGATGTTTTTCTGGAACTCTTTGATCTCTGGTTCCTCTGCCTTTTCTAAAACCAGCTTGAACATCTGGAAGTTCACGGTTCACATATTGCTGAAGCCTGGCTTGGAGAATTTTGAGCATTACTTTTCTAGCATGTGAGATGAGTGCAATTGTGCAATAGTTTGAGCATTCTTTGGCATTGCCTTTCTTAGGGATTGGAAATGAAAACTGACCTTTTCCAGTCCTGTGGCCATTGCCGAGTTTTCCGTATTTGCTGGCATATTGAATGCAGCACTTTCACAGCATCATCTTTCAAGATTTGAAATGTGTACATAGTCACTGAATTGTGCTGTACTGAAGCCCATGCTCGCTTATAGCCAGGTGTTCTAACAAGGAATCAGGGTGTCCAAGTTTAGAAATCTTGAAATAGGTGGTTGAAAGGATGGTTCTTCTTATTTTAAAACACTGAAGCAATTGCCAAAGAAATCTATATTTAGGATATTGTCATTACATTCTAGCTACCTTAAACTTTGTGTACTGTTGGTAGCATTAATTTACTACAGTAAAGGAGATATTACTAAATTGTAAAGAACTCTAGTGCCATATGATCTGGCAATTCCACTTCTGGTTATTATCTGAAGAAAACAGAAACACTAGCCACCAAAGATATATGTACCCATATGTTCACGGCAGCATTATTGATGATCAATGAGACGTGGAATCAACCCAAATACCCATCAGTCGGTGAATGGATAAAGAAGATACACACGCGCGCACACACACACACACACACACACAGAGGAATATTACTCAGCTGTAAAAAAAGAAAGAACTTTGCCATTTGTTGCAACATGGATGGACCTGGAGGTTATTATGTTGAAGTGAAATAAGTTGAACTGAGAAAGACAAATTTCCAAGTGATTTCACTCATGTGAAATTTAAAATACAAAAGAACAAACAAAACAGAAATAGACTCATAGATACAGAGAAGAAACTCATGGTTGCTAGAAGGGAAGGGGGTGGGAGTAGGCTAAGGTGAAGGGGATTAAGGGTTGTTAACTTCCAGCTATAAAATAAATAAGTCACAGGCATATACTAATTAGCATAATACTGTAATAACTTTATATGGTAACAAATGATTACTAGACTTATGATGATCATTTCATAATGATTTAAATATTGAATTTAAATATTTAAATGTTGTATTTAAATGTTGGATCACAGTGTTGTACATATGAAGCTAACATAATATTGTATGTCAGCTACAATACTTCCATTTAAAAAGAAGTCATAGAACCCTACAAAATTGCAACCATATTCTTCTGTGTTATGACTTCTTTTGACTGAGGAAGTAAAATAGATATCAGAAAATGTAATTCCTAATCCTTGTTCTCAAGAAACTTTATCACAAGAACATAAGGATTGAATTTTATTTTTTTATTTTCTTCTTTGGAAATAATGGTAAAAGTTACTGTGGACTGTCTCCTTAGTAATGATTCAGTCTTGGATGTCGTACAAATCTGTCTATTAATTTTCCATTTTGAACTCTACCTTGTGGTGGTAATTTTAAAATAGTTAAGCAGTTATCACTGATTTTGTTAACATCTTTTGCCCCAAGAAGGCATGCCATGATTTTTTTTTTAAAAAAAGGTTTCTCTTTGATATGTAAATAATACCCACATACGAATTTGAGAATGCATTTTATTTTCCTAACCTGTACATGATCAGTGGTAAAGGAAGAAAACATTTCTAGCGCTTGAACGGTTGGGAACCGAGAATGGCCTTCAGTCTCACCAGCAGCGTATTACGGTGTAAATGGAGACACTGATTAGTTACTACCTTTGTTTCTTCACCAGCGACAGATGACAGGAGTTCCATTCTGATCAAAAACTAAAAAAGCATTTTGAACGTTTTTGTCTTCCTTTCTCAAGGATCTAGACTGAGGTCTAGCAAGTGTCTTCAAGTAACTTGCCACTCAAAATGTAGTTATCAACAAGGGTTCATATTTGTCCTGAAAGGGCCCTGAAGCACAATTCCTAATCTTACTCGTACATTTTTGGTGATTTAGGTTTAACCAGCTGCTCTTCCTTGTTACATCTGTGATTCTTCCCCCTAAAGACAGTTTCATGAGTGGTTATGAAGAGTATTGCTACAAACAATTGATGTTCTTAATTTTTGCTTTTTTTTTTTTTTTTTAAATTCTGGATTTGTTGCTTGTTCTCTCCGATTTTCTGTGCCAGGTGCCAATAGAACATTTCACTGGAGTAGTAAGCCTTTTATTGTTTGGAGAGTGTGTGCTGAAGTGTGAAAGGTAGATACGAGACCTGTTGAGTAACGTAAGCTGTGCGCTTTATCTTTTGTGCCCTGCAGGGGGTGTCATTAACCTGTCAGTACCTATAGTCCTGACGGCTACTCAGGAAGACAAAGAGAGGCTGGACGGCTGCACGGCATTTGCTCTGATGTATGAGGGCCGCCGGGTGGCCATTCTTCGCAATCCAGAGTTTTTTGAGCACAGGAAGGAGGAGCGCTGTGCCCGGCAGTGGGGAACAACATGCAAGAACCACCCCTATATCAAGGTCCTGAGTAAACCTTGCCGCGTTTTGTCTTGATTTACCAATAATGCTTGTGCTGAAATGTGAGGCATTACCTGTATAGGAACCATTCTGCCATAGGAACCATTAATATTTTGAGGAATCAAGGCTCGAACTTATATTCGTGTGATAAGCATGCAGGCTTGTCATTTTGGTGCAGACAAATTCCAGCAAATATTGTTTAAACACCTCCTGTACACCAGCCCTGAGCTAGGTGCCAGAGCTGGGAACATAGGGCTGAGGTGCATGGCAGGCACAGTCCTTCTGTGCTTGGTATGTACTATCTGGTGGTGGAGCAGATACTGATCTTGTATTTACAGGTCGGATGTGAGGGCAGGATGCTATGGGAGCCCACAGCAGGGCGATTTTATCTAAGCTAGACTTTTAATTGAACATTGTGTTTCTGGTATGCAAACAGTGAAATTATAGTCTCCTCAAAGGGCCTCATATTATTTCATGTATTGTATGTGAAATATTATCACTGAAGTCACATTTCTGCCCTTTGTTTTAAAGTAGACTTTGAACTGTAAAAGGAGCTAAGTGAGGGAGTTCCCGGCAGTCCCATGGTTTGGACTCGGCGCTTTCACTGCTGGGCCTGGGTTCCATCCCTGATCAGGGAACAAAGATCCTACAAGCTTTATGGTGCAGCCAAAAAAAAAAAAAAAAGGCCTAAGTGAAATTTTTAGCTCTGTATATCTAGAAAATTTATATAGTGTCTGTTTAAATCATGGGAGTGTGCTAAATTTTATTTCATTATCTTCTGTAGGACAAAAAAGAGCAATTAAGTTTTAAAAATGGGCAGATGTGGGACTTTGCTGGCAGTCCAGTGTTTAAGGTGCCACACTTCCACTCCAGGGGGCGCAGGTTCGGTCTGATCGTTGGTAGGGGAGCTAAGTCGTTGGTAGGGGACCTGAGGTATGTTATACTGACTCCTTTGTCCTTAAATGCTATTCACTCTACTCCCTGGACAAGCCCTGTTTGTTTTCTCTGTGACATTTATCACTGGCTGGTATTCCTCTGGTTTCTCCTGTCTTTTCTCATCATCATTACTTTAATTGCTCAAAAGTTTAGGATTGGAAAACACCAAGAGGGCAGAGTGACCCATTTTTCTGTTAATCAACATGCAGCAACAATTAAAAGAATGTTTTTGTTACTTAAAAAGTTACAATTATTCATTTAGAGTTTGTCTGCATTTCATATGCAGATATGATAGCTGTATCACAAATCCTTTGTGAATTATAAAATGTATTCTAGTTCTACAGCATCTCTCATTCCCAGTTCAGTTGATAAGCCAAACAGATTTACCGTTAACCTTAAAGCAAGTGATGTCACTCAGTCGTGTCCGACTCTTTGTGACCCCATGGACTGTAGCCTACCAGGTTCCTTCATCCATGGGATTTTCCAGGCAAGAATACTGGAGTGGGTTGCCATTTCCTTCTCCAACCATTAACCTTAAGATGAGCATAATTTATAGGTATATATAACTTGTGTGAGAGAAATGTTCTTACTTACTTCGATCTTGATTCCTGTTTAAAAAGTTATTTTCTTTCTCTTGCCATTAGATGGTTATGGAACAAGGAGATTGGCTGATTGGAGGAGATCTTCAGGTCTTGGACCGAATTTATTGGAATGATGGTCTTGATCAGTATCGTTTTACTCCTACTGAGCTAAAGCAGAAGTTTAAAGATATGAATGCAGGTAAGACATGGATCCGATTATCTCACATGGGACTACTTGGAGTCTCTGCTTGATGGGGAAGTTCATAAGGATTTTTTCCAATACTTACTAAAATGTAAGACAGATTGAGGAGTAAAGATAAGGGTAGTTAGCAATGGAATATGTAAGGAAAGTTACTATAATCAGTCTGAATCCCATTCACTCCCATTCTGCATAAAACAATAGAACAGCAATAACACATTCACTGTTCATTCATCAAGTGTTCGTTGTTCACATGTTGTATGTGCTGGAGTGCCAAGTGCTGAGCATTCATAAGTAAACAGGAGTTTATGGTGTATTAGAGAGAGACAGTCAAAAAATAATAGAAAAAGTTAATTGAAGAGTAGGTTAATAGTGATTTCAGATTTCTGAATAAGGATGAGGTGGAGCTATGGAGGTAGAGAGTCTGTAGGAACTCTTCTTTATAATGCTGCCTTGGAAAGTATCCCAGGACAGGGATTTTTATATTAGACATCTGTGATTAGCAGGTCTTTTACACAAAGGTAGGTAAATGATGTGTTTATACTGGTGCACCCACAGGTGCCACAGCGTTTGCTATAGATTTTGGGAGGCTTTTTTAAGGTCTGAAGAATTTGGAGCCTCTTATAATCATACTACTTATGAATTCTCACTCCAGAAATGGTTAAACCCTAAGCTGGGGGACTGCTTTTTTAACTTTTAACTTCTGTGTAGAAATTGAGGAGATAGTTCTATTTTAGTTTGCTGATATTTGATATGACATGAAATGGATCAGGAACTGGAGATGTGATCTGGGCACATCCCTTCAGATCTCCACGGGCCTCAGCAGCCTGCCTCATTCATTCACATTTCCTGCTTAGACACCTCAGGGTATTTGATAGTGTAGGATCACATGTCTGCTTCTGAATTTTATTCCTCACCTCTGAATTTGAAGCGCATGTTTGGCCTAAGCCTCTTGTGCAGGGATTTCTCTGTGACACTCGCTGCTTGCTCGTATAGCAGCTTGTTTTCTTCTTGTTTGCTGACATGTTTTGGGCACAGTCGTAGGGACTGCATCATGACTGCTCTAAGTCAGTGATGCTGCCTCATTCCCTTTTGTCAGCGTGTGACTTAAAGGTCCATGGGTAAGTCTGTTTTGGCCTTTGAAGTGTAAGGAAGAGGGGCTTCTGGGAAAGGTTTTCCTTTCTAAAGAGAATCAGGCTTAGGACAGAAAGTTACCTTTTTCCATCCTTCCTTTTCCTCTTGCTTCGGATGTGGTCATGTAAGGGTTCAGTGTTTGGAGCTCTGGCAGCCATTTTGTAACTATGAGAATGCATGAGAATCGTATACTGTTTGAGTTTCTGATCAACCCTCGAGTCCTCTATCTCCACATTTCTTACTCAAAGACCTAATGCATGTTTGAGTTATAGAAGACACTTCTAGTTGAGTCTTATCTTGTTTGCGACCAGAAGCATCTGATAATTTAACATGTATAGACCTCTTTTTTTTCTGATAAACAGGAACATGTTTAACTGAGGACTTGCTGAGACCTGCTCATTAATTTTTTTTTCCAAAATAATTTATATCAGGAGCTCATGTTAATAAATAATTTTTGGCACTGTTGAAGGGTCTTATCATGAAATTATCATTCATAATCAGAGACTTTATGTTACATCTGTTTTGCATTCTTCCTTGTGGGGCCAAACATTTTAAATCATTTAGATAATTTGTTGCATAATGAGAGATTGCAACTTTTGTTTAAAGTAGCTGGGAGCCAATTATTAGCCTTAAATCAAGCAAAAAGGATGGTGGGGTGTTATTTTGTTTACTTTTCCATTTTAGACTAAAGCAAATAAACAACAGATTGAGTCCCTTCCTTTATAGTTCTTATTCACTCTTTCTGGAAGCCAGTAACAAGTCATCTACTTGTGTGTACAAACCATAATTCAAGGGAGAGAAAAGAGGAAATTCTTTTTTTTTTCTTTTACTTGGATTCCTTTTTAACCTCCTCCTTCTCCTCCCCCCTTCATCGTAGTAGAAGAACTCTGATTACCCTGTTGTGGGCTATTGTCTTGTGCACATTGATATGGTCAGTTTTGGTGTTTCTAAACCATTCTGTAGCTGGAGGGATTGGGAAATCACTGATCACATCAGTGACTGCAGGGTGTCATGGTTCCAGGTGGCAGGTTCTTTGAACCACTGATGATTGACCAGTATCCTGGAAAGAATGAATTTCACGTAAGCCAATGAAGAACCAAGTTAGCGTTTGTTATACACAGTGGAGTCCTGCTAGGTTACAAAGGGAAACATTGACATAATTTCTTTCAAGCTAGTGTGTGCTAGCACAGTGCTGAATAAATCTGAAAAAGCCTTGTAGAGCTTGTTGAACCAGACCATGTTTTATTTTTATTTATTTATTTTTTTTGAACCAGGCCATATTTTAAATAAATTGATAGAAACAGAAATATATCTTAGGCAAAGTTGGGAATGACAGATACATGAGGAAGCTGAGGCGGAGGCAGATCGTCTGCCTCTGAAGGTGCTGCCACAAGGCAAGGAGCAGGAGATGCTACGATCTGAGGTTGGGTGGCGGAGCCTCTGTCAGCCGGGTCAGGGGACGCTCAGATGACGCTGTGAGCATTGTCTGACAAAGTGAGTATTTAAAGATGGGTGGTCAAGGTTGGGGAGCTGCCAGGAAATGACGAGGCATCTGGGGACTAGCAATTTGGGGTAGTATTACCGTTCCTGACATTGTTTCTTAAGTGGGGTAAGAGAAGGCTGGCGCTGCGGGGAGGGGCGGCGGGCAGGAGATGGTTGTCGGGGGTGTGGGCATGGCTGTGGTCACCATGCTGGGGCAGGATGCTACTGGGCACGTGTTTTCTCCTCCGTCCTCTGCTCTCCTGTTGGTGTCTGCCTTGGGGAGGTAGGAGGTAGGAGTACAGCCCTCCCCCTGCCCCTGGACACACGTGTACACGCACACACGTGCACACGCACACACATGTGCACACACGTGTACACACACGTGCACACACACAGGAGGCATGGACTAGAGGGGAAGGTGAATGCAGAGCAGACAGTGCAGAGTCTGTTTGGCAAAAAGCTTTATATTCGTTACTTTTCTCCTTAATTTGAAAGCACTTTTAGTCTTAAGAGAGAAAACAACTTGTGGCCATGTTTTGGGTATGGGAGTCCCTGTTTGTGAAAAATTCTAGTCTATTCATATTTACTCAAGTGGCCTATCTTTGTCTTGTGGATTTTTTTTATTCCCTCATGAGCAGTTTAAGTAAAAGAAAAACTGGTGATTTATGACTGGCCTGAGGGAGGAGGGGGATCAAACTCGTTTTTTTGTTGTTGTTTCCAACTCTCTTAAAAAATCTCCCACAAAAATAAGCATAGTGTGCCCTCACCTTTCCACCCTCCCCCTCCAGCTGTGGCACTATTGTCAGGACTCTCTTGTTCAGCTGCTACATTAATTTGAGGAAACTCAGAAATGCCTGTACTTACAGTTTTGGGGTAAAATGGCAGATAATAGAGCTTGCCTAGGACTGGAAGAGAAGACTGATTTAATTAGTGCTGTATGTAGGACAGTTTTCAGAGAAGTTGAAAGGAAGGAAGCAGGAAGATGTTGTAATTCGGGGTTTAGTGGTTGGGATGCAGTCCAGGACTCTGCCTGTGGGCTGGGCAGCGAAGCGCAGTTCTGAGAAATCCGGGGGAAAGAGTTCGTTGCACTCCCCTGCTGACCAGTCCATTCGCTGCTCACAGCGGCTCTGCTGGGAACCTGCTGCCATCCCTGGGCCTTTTGCTGAGGAACTGTAGCGCAGGGGCCCAGCCCAGGTGTTTTCAGCATGCCGCCTTGTGTTCCAGGGCCGTGATGCTCAGTCAGGCAGCCTGTGTCTTGCCTGTATCCAGGGGGTCGGGGTCCGCCCTCCTTCCACCACCAGAAAGCACTCCTGGTGCCACCCTTCCCCATCACATGTCCGTGCATCCTCAGAAGAACCTTCTCCACTGTCTTCTTCCCCTTCCACCTGCTGCAGGGAAGGGATCAGACTACTTAACATGATGTGTTGGCTCTTGGATGGTATTGAATGCAGAGGAGAGGGAGAGAAGCTGTACTGTGGGATTCTTCCTTACTTAGGCATGAAATATAGAAGCCTGGGGAGCTCGGCCCGCTTTTGGTTTGAAATATGCGGGTTATGGTGAAGGTGGAGGAACTGAGGGGGTGGGAGCAGTAATGAGCAATATCTATTGAAATGTTTTGAGTAATAAGTCTCTGTAACTGATGAGTTGGAGGGTCAGGACTTAGAGATGCAGCTAACAGAAGCCATCTGTATGCACATGGTAATTGAATCCAGGCAGAGGGGTAAGTTTCCTGAATGAGTCTGTAAAGAAAGAATGTCATAGGACCCAGAAGTGAACCTTATGGTTCTGAGAGGACTACAAGATGTCAGAAACAGGTGATTAGACTAAAATGGGCCAAGCAGAGTCTAAAATGTCATACTCATTTGATCACATCTGTGTAAAAATGTATGCATAAGGAGAAAAACTAGGAGACTCTGCAAAAAACCAAAAGCAATTATATTAAGATCATGCATTTCGGTTGTTTTTTTTCCTCTCCAAATTTTCTTCAGTATTTCATTTGTATGTATGTGTTAGTCATTTGTGTCTGACTCTTTGTGACCCCATGGACTGTAGCCTGCCAGGCTCTTCTGTTCATGAAATTCTCCAGGCAAGAATACTGGGGTGGGTAACCATTCCCTCTTCTAGGGGATCTTTCTGACCCAGGGATTGAACCCAGGTCTCCCATGTTGTGAGGGTAGCACCTGTCTTCACTGTTGCCACGTTGTTAGGGTATGTGACCCCCTCTCACAGTGTGTAGGCTGTGATCAGTCACAGGAGCCTGACTGTATGCTGGGGGAGGAATAGATTGAGTGAGCAGAGACGATGGAAGGCTGGAGGATGGTTTATTTTATATGGAAAATGTGGGGCACATGTTTCTCTGCAGCAGCCTTCTGGTTTTGCTGTCT